GTTAAAATCAATAAACTTTTTTTTGAAATTGAATTTGGTATTGATGGAAAGAGAAAATATGCTTCAAAGTAAAATTTGCAAGGTAAAAAAATAGTATATGAACCAAACAGTAAACATAAGGTATATTTCGTTGTGGTTGAAATGATAAGTATTCTTTCATTTTTAATCAGTCTCGGATATGAAGGTGCTTTTGGTGTGGAGTTGGTTTATCCTTTATTAAAATATGACTTCCCGGCACAAAACCAAATTAGTTAGTTGGAAAAAAAAAATAGTGGAAAAGAAAGATAAACAAAAGGTATTAATGTGAAAACAAAATGAATCAAAGCTTCTTATCAAAGTATTTAAATGTTGAATTTTAACCATTTAGTTTAATCTTCATTCTTAGTGTCTTACAAGTTACACCTAATGCTTTGTTGTGAAATAGGGGAAGGAAGAAAGTGAAAAGGAGAAGGGAAAGTTGAATGGAAGATATGTGATGGAGAAAGTATATAGTAGGGGATTTGGGAAGGAAAAACTATTTGTTTCCTGGCATTACAAAATCAAATCCAGGAAGACACAAACATTTAGCTTGATCATCTATATTGGTGCAAAACCCATTAAGCCCACAAAGGCCTTTTGGATTACAGCCATCATTTGTTGATGAGCATATCACGGAGCTGTTCTGTTGATTCAGAGAATGTGAATAAACTCGAAAAATACCATCAGCATCAATTTTCATCATATAGATGATGGTCCTTTCTCTAGGGTAGCCTCCTCTGGTTAGATTTCTTAGACTATTAGTGGAATTGAGCAAGTAGAGGAGGCCGTCATCATCAAGATTCAGTGTAACATTATTCCCTACTAAATAGGTGGCTGTTGTGTAGTAAGCATATTGGCCACTATCTGGTGTATTGATAGGGTACTGAACAAGGTTCCCATCATCTTGCATTTTAAGACGGAAAATCCCTAATGAGTCATCTGTTTCCGAGGCACTCGAGAACAACTCTTGTCCAGCTGATATCTGCTGACCAGGTAAAAGTGTGTTTGTTGGATTGTCAAAACTTTGCCAAATGACATTGTGATCAGAATCATAGAGCACAAATTTTCCGGTGTCCAGCATGGAAGCTGAAGCAATGGCTCAAGAGGGATTGATGACAGAGTTTTCCTGGCTTCCTACTTGCACAATGAGCCTTCCATCATTAGTTAAGAGCAATACAGCGTTGCTCGGGACAACAGGACTGTTCCTGTTTGCTGTCCACACTGCTGTCTTGTTAGGCATACCGACGATTGAGATTCCAACAGCATAGCCATTGGTTTGTTCATAAACCCAAGGCAAAGCGCCTGGACGGTGAAAACCATGATGAATTGGTAGTAGGTGTTAGAGAAGAGCCAAGAGTTATATTGAACTGCCTCTGTTGTGCTAGTGTTACTGCATGAAGTGCAGATAATAGTATTAACCATAGCAAAACAGCCATAGATTTTAGCTTTCTTTGTTTTTCTCTGATTTATCACAAAATTGTGATGTTAATATGTTATAAATTCAGTTTATTATAACATCCAAAGATTTTAGCTACTGTAGGACAAGACAATTTATGCCAATCATCATATCATCATATATTATTAAAAGTGGGAAGCTCCCATCTTCAAAGTTGAATTACCATTTAGTCCTTGCAACAAATTAGAAAGTAATTAAATTTTTAATTAATTAAATAATATTATTGAGCAACATTTTTTGTCAATTAATTTGAAAGTTGAAAAGACTTAATCACTTAATTAGGAAATTTGAAAGGGTGCATGAAAGATGAAAAGACTATAATCAGTTATGTACGGAATTTAAAGGGTTACATCACTATTTTGTTGTTGCCGGAACTATGTGGTTAGTGCTGGGCTAGCAGAAAATCAAAGTTTATCAGAAGCCTGGTCTAAAATTCCTGAAAAATTAGAACAGATGCAGCTTACCAACGGGCAAGCAGGTTCCGTGGGTTAGGAGGCTGCCTTTAAGTGATAGGGGGCCCTCATTTCATACAAGGGAAAGCAGAAGGATGGGACTGTCGTGTCGATCACATTCGATTGAGAGTTCTCACCTCTTTGAGCTTAGGTCAGCAAGAAGTCATCCCCGAGGAAAGAATAAGTCTTCGGCGAGCCGGTACCCACTACTTGTTCCAGAAACCTCTTTTCTCATAGCTCATAGGTAAGTATGAAATTGAAATGGCTACATCAGAGTACCATGACAGACATACACTCATTTGGATAGTCACAAAGAGGAAGTAGGCTGGATGGAATCCAAAGAATGAAACCATCTTAGCTTCTTGGACAAATATGCTTGTTGCCTTGGTAGGAGAATCATGAGTTGGGATCGATATATGAAAAACAAACTTCAGAAGGTGGACTATTTATTCATGGTTGCCGGCATACAAGCAAAAGTTCAGATAATATATTATTACAAATCTGGCATATTGCTGAAAACAATCTACCATGATGAAGGGAGATAATTCCCCCCAATGGTCCCTTAAGAGGGTATTGTAACAACTTGTTTTCTCTTTAAAATTTTCATATATGTATTTAGGCAACAAAGATTGAGCCAAATAATGTGGTTTTATCTTTATAAATATAGGTTTTATGTATAATTTTATTTTTTGTTGCATTTATAGGTACATTCTTCTGTTTGTTTCATTTGAAATGATAATCTTAAGTTTTTCTTTTTTTTTTTATTTATAAATGTACTACAAATATATGATAGAGAAAACAACTATTGATGAATCGTACTTTAAGCAAGTTCAATGAGGTAAATACACATTTTACACCATCAAAGAAGAGACCATACTAAAATTTCAAGCAATTAGTTGTAAACTTTTTTATTATTGGCCTTGATTGCCAAATAATAATTAGCTTTAGTAAATAAAGGTTGTTCGTTTTTGTTAAAGTTTCATTATCGCTTATATATGTAAATTTATTTTTAAAATTTTAAAATATAATTTTTAATAGACTTATAAAATAGAAATATGTATAATCCTCACCTTTAAATAAACAATAGAGAAAAATAGTTGATATATAACGTGTGCTCATTTTTCTCAATTACTTTGTATAAATTTATCATTGGTTTCTTACTATAATGACTGTATATATGTCAATGCATAATAAGATTATTATTGTTAGACCCAAATATAGAACTTAAAATAAGGCATCGAGGCAAACCAAAAAGAACAAAAAGATATATAAGGCTTTTGATGGGACAAGAACATTTTCTTCATAGTCAACAACTCAACATTAATTATTTTCATAACTCATAGAACTTAAAATAATAATATGATTTTTTAAATTTATCTACTCAATGATATGGGCGCGTGTCCAGTATATTAATTCTATATTTTAAACTAAAAAATTGATATTCAAAAACTATACTAAAAGTACTATAAATTGCAATTTTTTCGCATATCAATATAATGAAAAAATATATCGTAAAATGTTAGTCAAAGTTATTATAGTTTGACTCTAAAAAGGAAACCATGACAATTACAAGTGGACGGAGGGAGTAATGAACAAAGCTTGAGTGAGATTATTATATCATATCATATTATACTAAAAA